GGGAGCGGGGACGAGCCCAGCTGGGGACACGGGCCCTGCGGCCACGCGGCTCGTTGCGGTCACCTCCCTCCTCTCCCTGCGCTTGCTGAGCAGGGCGAGAGCGACAGGGTCTGCTCAGAGCTTCTCGCTTGGCCTCGTTACAGAGCCAGAGCTCTCTAGCAAGGAGCCCTCTCCTTCCGGGCCACGCCGTGCACCCCGGCACAGATTCCCTTGGGAAGCGCCAGGACGGGGCTGCCCTCACCCTCTTTCCCAGGGAATCCAACACCGCCCGCCCAGAGCTGCTGCTCCACGAGCACCTACCCCATCCAGCTGGCAGGCGGAGCGGGAGCCAAGGAGCCATCCCTCCCCTTCCCACGGCACCGAGCACATCTCCAGCTGCTCCCACTCATCACCCCAGGGCTTTGCTGCCTCACATTTATTCAATTATCACTTTGGTTCTGCCCCCACACTGGCACTTATCACTGCCTCAGCCCTGGTAGGGAAGGAGAGGCCCAAGGCCCTGGGTTCTGTGAGAGGGGCTGTGTGTTGGGGACCCCACGCCTCCATCCGGCCCCGCGGAGCCCGTCCTGCTGCCGCACAACCCACCTGCAGGTTCCTGGCCCCCTTGGCAGGGCTGGCACCGAGCAGGGGGCTGATCCACGTGCGCCGGGTGCTCCGGGTCGGCTCCGGCAGGGCGGGAAGGCCGCAGGGCAGTGGCGAGGAGCGACCCGGCCGCCACGCAACGGGGTTGTTGGTCCTCATGCTGCACCAGAGGCCTGTGGATTTTTATGCCAGAAGCGAATCAATACACTTAAATGAGAAAACTTCACTCCAAGGCCAATAAAGCATGTGTTATTGCTGGCTCAATTGGGGCATGTGATATACTGACAGGAGAAATATCTCCCTGTATAGAGTCATGCAAAAAGAAGGATGCTTTTAGTTATTGCCATGGAAGCTGGGGTGTGTATGGGAAGGGGTTCTGGAGAACAAGCAGCCCTGTTCACCTCCGCAGTTGGGTGACGTGCCAGATCGCTGCTGCACGGCCCTGAGAGTCACTTGATTAAGCCGCACATTGCAGGAGAGAAAGCCGTGGGTTTGTGTTGTCCTGATTATGTCGGGGAGGATGCTCCGGCTCCGTTCATCCGGCCGTGACGCTCCGCGTTGGCTCCGCGCAGGACGGAGCTGCCGCTCGTCAGAGCCCCTTCCCTTGGCGGCTCCGCGATTCCGCTCGGCGCCGTCTGCCTCGTCCTGCCACCGCGGATTAACGCGGCTGCCACGCGGGAGAGCCAGCGGAAGGTCTCCCTCACTTCCAACATCATTTATCAGAGGGGATTATCCCACGGGGGCTCCTGTGCAGTCATATTTAATAACCTACACTGCTTCAAACCGAGTGATTTCTCCTTTGAACTTAAGCCACAGTAATGCAGCAGGTTGACACTGCTGCTTCAAAAGCGAAGTGAAAAACAGTAGCATTGGTGCCACGCAAGGAAAGTACCACGAACGCTGGAATCCCGCCCTCTGCGGCACTCTGGAAGGGGGCTGCACAGGGCGCACGACCGAGGAGGTGACCGGGCTGCACGAACGGCTCCGTGCCAGGAGGGCAGCGCCAGGAGCAGCCGCAGGACGGCCCCTCCAGCTCCAGGGCTGGGCCGCAATTCCTGGTTTTGGGCAGTCGGTGACACTCCGCTCTGCTCCGCGCGGCGCCTCATGCAGGGATGGGCACACGCTCCTTGGGACACCTCTCCCTGCCCTGCCGCAGCGGCAGCTCCTCCGCAGCCTAGGGAGAAGAAAAGCCTGGGCTCCATCCCAGCACTTGAGAAATGCCCTTTCCCAGCCCAGGGAATTGCTGCGGGTTGGCCGGGAGCTGCCGCGAAGGCCCTGCTGCCCCGGGCACGGTGCATCCTGCACTGCACGGGGCACAGAGCTGGGGACGGAGCTGGGGGGCCTGGAGAGCTGCACATGGAGGCGGCTGGTCAGGGCGAAGCAGCTTCAGCCTCTTCCACCCCAGGGAAAATCCCGCCGAGGTTTTTCCTGGAGCTCCGGGGAGGGAGCACATGC